ATATATATATATATATATATATATATATATATATATGATTTTGGAATACTTGTATTTGCATATGTGTACAGGATGAGATATCTTGGAAATGCAACCCAAGTCTAAATACAAAATTCATTGATGTTTCATGGACATCTTTTGCAAAGTAATTTTATATGCAATATTTGCAATAATATTGTGCATGAAACACAGTTTGTGGACACTGAACCATGAGAAAGCAGAGGTGTCACTGTCTCAGCCACCCAAGTTTTGGTTTTGGGAATATTTTGGATTTTGGAATTCCAGATAAGTTAGAATCAAACTGGGTTTTGCTGGATGGACAACAAGGTTAGCCCTGAATATATTTCCCCCGAATACAAACAGTGTCGCTGGCTCTAAACAAAGTCATTTGGAGATCCTATAAATGACCATTTTTATATTGGTCCTTTCTAAGCTGAAAACCACTATTGACTGCTGCTTGCAATAGTGCAATCCTTGTCCTGGCAGCATTATAAATGGAATTACTGGCGGCCTAAATCCTTGCATTTCCTAATAATTGCAACAACATTTTCTCTGGTGCTTTTTTGACACTTCTGGTATGTTCTTTGCATTTGAATGCTTGCACTCGGGTAGAAAGGAGATGAGATTTGTTGGTCTCCTTTTTAATGGTTTGCTTTTCAAACTGCTTTTGACTTTATATCGATATTTGAATTGCCTTTGAAACTTGTTAGCTGTATGTGCTTTAGCTTTTGTAAGCTGCCTTTAGGTCCCAGAAAGGAGGAAAGGGAGAATTTTAATAAATATTATAATATCATCATCATAACACCAATGGAGCCCCCAATTTTAAATGGACTTCTGAGGAAGAAAGTTCAAGTATAAGGAAGCCCATGTTGCCCATTTCTCTCTTTCATTTAGTCTCAGGATCCCTTTGCAGACCGATTTTTCAGAATAACACAGCAATGACTGCATCTGCACTGCAGAAATAATCCAATTCCAAGACATTGACTGCATCTGCACTGCAGAAATAATCCAGTTTGACACCACTTTAATTGCCATGGCTCAATGCTTTGGAATACTGGGATTTGTAGTTTGTTGTGGCACCAGAGCTCTCTGACAGAGAAGGTTATATAGCTCACAAAACTGCAAATCCCAGGATTCCATAGCATTGAGCCATGGCAATTAAAGTGGTATCAAACTGGATTATTTCTGCAATGTGGATGCAGTCAATGTCTTGGAATTCTAAAATTGTTGTTATATTTGTTTCCATCCTTCCTTTCCCCCCAGTTCAGGACTCAAAGCAGCTTACAACAAATTTTTAAACATGTATCCTTAAAAATCCACAGGATACAAAAGTTGCAATGAGATTAAACAACCCAAAAAATGAAAGCATGTGTCCATAAACACTCAGATAGCCACATACCAACACAATAACTAGCAAGATCCGGCACATTATTTTGGTGGGGCTGGCTTTATATAGTCAATTATTAAATGCCTATTTAAACAGAAAAGTCTTTATTTGTCTGCAGAAAGAAAGTAGGAAGTTTCAAAGCCAGGGAGCAACCACTGAGAAGGACCCTACTCCCAAATTCCCTATATATATTCCAATTTTTTCCACTATGTGGGGTTTAGAAAATTCACCCAAAAAAAGTCAGCACCCACCACAATTACAGAGCAATAGAATAATGCTAACAAAACTTCTTGTATACTTACAAAACTGTATTACAAGCTTGGATATGCATTACGTTACAGAAGCCCCAAATTATTTTGGTATCATGTACCATGCAACAACAAACAACTCTAGTACCTTGACTTCTGGTTATATCTCCTTTCCTTCTCTAATTTGTGTGGATTTTGGGGATTCCCGGATTCTCTGGGAAATTGTCGTGCAGCCCTCGAGCTTTTTGCAAATGCATTCTGGGATGGGAGGGCTGAAGGTGCACTTCAGGACATGTTTCCTGGGTTTTTGGAGAAAGTGGACTGAGGAGGGCCTTTGCAGACTGCCAGAAATAGTGCAAATTGAGTCCACTTTTAGGGTTAGGGTTAGTGCTAGGGAATCATGGGAATTGTTTTCTTTTCTGAGACATTGAGCCTTCTCTGTCAGAGAGCTCTGGTGCCACAATAAAATACAGTTCCCATGATTCCCTAACCCTTAAAGTGGACTCAATTTGCACTATTTCTGGCAGTCTGAGAAAAGCTCTTCTGGAGGAGACCTGTCCAATCTAGCACCTTTATTCCCACATTGGATGTGTTGCGGTTGTGTGTCTTCAAGTCATTTCTGACCTATGGTGACCTTAGGGTCAGTATGGTGTAGCGGTTCGAGTGTTGGACTATGGCTTTGGAGACCAGGGTTCAACTCCCACTGGGTGACTTGGGCAAGTCACACTCTCTCAGCCTCAGGAGAAGGCAATGGCAAACCTGCTTTGAACAAGTCTTGCCAAGAAAGCCCCATGACAGGTTCGCCTTTGGAGTTGCCACAAGTCGGAAACCACTCAAAGACACACAACAACAACAACAACAACCAGGGCAACCCTATTGCCTCCTTTTCTTGGAAAGCGTTGCTCAGAGGAGGTTTGCCTTTGCCTCCTCCCTCTGAGGCTGAGAGAGTGAGTCCCAATTTTGGGAGACAGGTCGGCTATAAATAAATAATAGCAACAGAAACCACAACTTCGGTGTGGTTTGTGAAAAGTGAAGCTCGAGGGGAATCTTGTTTAGAAGGGAGGAACTGATTTGTTGGTGAAATTTTACAGGATTGGCAGAGAAATATATTCAGTTTTCCCTTTGTAGGGGATTGAGACGCCCCCAAAAATAGATGGA